GCCCCCTGGCGCCCGGCGGGCGAACGGCCACACCCCCTGGCACCCGGCAACCTGTAATGGTAGGGGACCACTGGACTAGACGTTCAGTATGGTCCCTCTTGACCATAAAGTGAGGAGTCTATGGGAAAGACCCTCGAAGCCTTCTCTCCATGGTCTCGATCCAGTTCTGATCCCCACCACCTTAGTACACCGACAAATACAGTCGCCAGAAACGCGTCACATGACAGGAGAAGGAAATGTTGCCTACAAATTGGCACAACACCCACCACACACCCCTTGTGCTTGGGCGCACCATCGAGAGGGCACAACCTGCTCCGGATTCCATCTCCCCTCCTGTTCCTAGCACTCTCTGGACTGCAGGACAGCGGATGGGCCCCTAACTCGCGCTGGTGGGCCGCTACGCACATGAGCCAAGCTCACCCAGTGTTAGGTTCCGGTTCCACCATAGGTTGTAGACCGCAGTGCAGGAATCCCTGGGTGAGGGTCTCTGGTTTGTGAGAGGTAGAACCATGATCACGATGGTCCCCCTAGCCTTAAAAGCTACGTGCCTGCTGTTATTCCTCTCCCGTCTGCCTGTCTCTCCCCAGTCTGCACCTCATGGGAGTCTGGCGAGACTAGAAAACATAACAAGGAGTCCAGTGTCACTTTAATGACTAACACATGGATTAGGGTAATGCATTTCAGAAGGGTAGCCAGGTTAGTCTGTATCTGCAAACACAATGAGCGAGTCCTGTGAGTTAGTCTTGAAAGTGCCACGGACTCCTTGTCTTTGCTGAAACAGACGAGCAGGGCTCCCTCTCTGCCACCTACCACCATGCATCTTTAGACTAAATTTCATTATCCCTCCCTGGATCCTGTTTCATTCCTTCATTCATTAGCTGCCCTCCTCTTCTTTTCCTGTCATCCCTTTGCCTCCCTCCCTCCGCCACGCAAGGTTTTTTCTCTCTCTTCCTTTTCCATTTGCAACATTCTGCTTGGTTTTTACCCCCTGCTCATTTCTTCCACTAATTGGTTCTTCACCCCTCTTTTCTTTCCTGGATTTGCACAGTCTCTCTCTCTGTCTCTCTTCGTTTTGCTGCTTTCTATCTTTGTCTTGCTGCTCTCTGTTTCTGTCTGTCTCCCCCGTCTCTCTCTGGGTGTGTCTAGACTCCACCTCTCTGTTGACAGAGAGATGTAGATTAGGCACGTTGAAATTGCTAATGAAGCCGGGATTTAAATATCCCATGCCTCATTAGCATAAACATGGCCGCTGCTTTTTTTTGAAACGGAGGGGTTTTTTTTTTTAAAAAGGCAGTCTAGATGCGGATCTGTCAAAAGTAAAGCCTTTTTCAACAGATCCTAAACTGCTTTTTTTTTTCAAAAAAACTCAGTTTCGAAAAAATGTGGTGGCCATGTATATACTAATGAGGCACGGGATATTTAAATTCCAGCTTCATTAGCAATTTCGACATGCCTAATCTACACCTCTCTGTCGACAGAGAGGTGCAGTCTAGATGTAGCCTTTGTTTGCTGCTCTCTATCTCTCTGTCTGTCTGTCTCCCTGTCTCTCTTTGTTTTGCTGCTCTCTCTCTCTCTCTCCTTGTTTCTCTTCTCCTTGCTGCTCTCTATCTCTCTGTCTGTCTGTCTCCCTGTCTCTCTTTGTTTTGCTGCTCTCTGTCTCTGTCTGTCTCCCCCTGTCTCCCTTTGCTTTGCTGTTCTCTGTCTCTCTCTCTCCTTGTTTCTCTTCGTTTTGCTGCTCTCTATCTCTGTCTGTCTCTCTCCGTCTCTCTTTGTTTTGCTGCTCTCTGTCTCTCTGTCTGTCTCTCTTTCCTGAACATTTTCCCCATGGACAGGCTGGACACCACAGCCCTGGAAATATTTTGCTAAACTATATGGCCTTTCTCATGGTACCGTTGCTGATGGCTAGAAAAAACTCCATGCTGCTCAGTATTCAAATATGCTCCATTTCTTGGGGTTCTCTTAGGATTCGGGGCTGCGGGGAAACCGACGTGTCTGTTTCAGATGCTTAACCTCTCACAAGGCCAAGTAAGCACTGAGAACACTTAAGGGCATCCGTTTGAAACTAGGCCTTTTCCAACATCTTGGACATAATGTGCCATAGTTACTTACAGCTTGTCTGGTTTCTGTATCCTAATGCAAGTGCTCTCCAGCCGAAGCATGGATCAATTGCTTTGGGGGATCACTTGTGTCCATACCAAAAACACCCCTCTGTCTGAGCTCAGTGGCTCATGCAGTTGCTCTCAAAGCAGTGAAACCGGCACTGCCCTTCCCTCATCTGTACTGACATCAGCCGTGAAACCACTGGCAGGCTTCATGGATATATTATTATGACTACGTTCTCAGCTTGAATAGGTTGTAGTCTTCTCCTCCGTTCAGCCATTAAGGAATCTGGTCCCAAAGAGACCAGAAATACACCATCCAAAACACATGTATTGCCAATTCTATCCATTCCACTCATTGCTGGTGGCCTGGGCCTTTCTTTCTTGAAATACCAGCTGTGTGTGGCCAAGTGGCATGGACCACAGGCTCTGAGGTGAGGCCTGTGTAGCTGCTCTACATGTATAATCACCACCAAAGTGGATTTGAACCTAGGATCTCTGGAGCTTAGTATAGGAGCTTCTACCCTTTGAGCTAAAAACCAGCTGCCTCTCAGCTCATGCTGGAAAGGTCTCTTGTGCCAAATTTGCTTATCTTCTTTCGAAAGTGAAAGCAAGTCTAGACATACCCCTAGGCTATGTCTACACTCGCAGCATCTTGCGCAACTAATAAGCAAATGATTTTAAGCATGGAATATCACTGAGCCTCATTTGCATACCTAAGGAACCACCATTTTTTTCACATCTACACTGCCCCTTCTTGCGCAAGAAAAACCCTCTTGCGCAATGCCGTTACACCTATTACTTGAGAGGAAAAACAGCATTGTGCAAGAGGGTTTTTCTTGCGCAAGAAGGGGCAGTGTAGATGTGAAAAAAATGGTGGTTCCTTAGGTATGCAAATGAGGCTCAGTGATATTCCATGCTTAAAATCATTTGCTTATTAGTTGCGCAAGATGCTGCGAGTGTAGACATAGCCTAGGGGTATGTCTAGACTTGCTTTCACTTTCGAAAGAAGATAAGCAAATTTGGCACTAATTTGCATATCTTTTTCTGATTGCATTTTTGAAAGCAGTTTTTTCGAACGTGAAAGTGGTTTAGACGCAGTTCTTTTAGGGAAAAAACCCTTTTTTTGAAAGAATCTTCTTCCTCAAAAATGGAGGTTTACAGGTTCTTTCAAAAAAAGTGGTTTTTTTCCGAAAGAACTTCATCTAGACTGCTTTCACTTTTGAAAGAAAACCGCTTTCGAAAAAGTGATCAGAAGAAGATATGCAAATAAGCACCAAATTTGCATATTTTTCGAAGGTGAAAGCAAGTCTAGACGTACCCTAGGTGTGTGGGTTATATGTGGTCCACCCATTAACCGCAAAGCAAAGGTCCATGCAGGAATTGCAAGACAGGAAGAGTGACAATTCTCGTGTTGCGAAGTCGTTACCCTGACACAAAGCAGAGCATTTCTAGTCCACCAGCAGATAGAGCCTAGCAGTCTCAAAACCCATTTTTGGAAGTTTTAACCCTGGAAGTTATTTGCTGATTTTTCAAGCTGTCCCAACAACAGCTAGAGCAACCTCGGGGCTGCTTTGGGTTATGACAGCTGTTTATGATCCCAAAGAGAGCATATGATATGGAATTCCTGCCTGTCCCTGGTATATGCTCTATGCCACAATGGTGACCTATTAATATAGGAGCTGTCTCCTAGCAGATGGCAATTCCCTCCCACCATGGGGAATTCTCAGCTTGCCAGCTACAGCCAAAATCTAACTCCACTGTGCTACTCATCTACTCCTTTGCACTGTTCACAATATAGCTCGGTCACTTTTACAAGACTTTCCGATCCTGAGTGTTCAAATAGCAACACCAGTCCTACCTTGGCTTCATCACATTGTCAAGTGGAAAGCTTCCAAGTTGGACGCTAACTACTTTTTCATCCTTTGCCTTTGGTAGTCAATTATTTTCACTATATATTTCCCCTAGGTTGCCTTCTTTCAAGCCTTGTCCAGTCAGTATGTTAAACAAGCTCTATTTGAGAAAGAACTCAGTTAGGCCATTGAATTGGGCCTGTCTTTACTGACACTACTTCTTGGAAGGGCTGTCATTTAATTGTCAAGTGTCAAATGTAGGGCTCATCATGGATACAGACCCCCAAAATCTTGGGAGCTGATCCCCGCATTAGCCAGGTGTGTCACATGACCATCTACTAGAACAGTGGTTCTCAACTCATTTCAGTCCACCAGGCCAATCAACAAATTTTCGTGGACCACCTCCTTTTTGAGACATGATCAAAAAAAGCAGACAACGAACATTTTGGTTTGAAATTTATTTCTTACCAGCAGATTTTTGGTGCCTGCCCACGCTGTGTGACTTTGGACAATGTTCCTGTGGACCACCAAAAAAGTCACCATGGACCACCAGTTGAGAACCACAGTACTAGAAGATAACAGCCTACACATGCTACCAGTTAGTAGAGATGCTCCTTTAACTCAGGTGGAATAGGACTTGTGCAGAAGCTCCTTCGTTGTATAACCCTACTGATAACTCCAACAGAGGGTTGTTACCCAACTAACTAACACGCAGAGCTGATATTGAAGTCCACCAGGACTCTCACTGCTCTGGATAGCTCTCAAGGTCTGGCTTTCTCGAGAGCTTTCCTGTACTTCCCCTGAGCTGGAAATACCACAAGAAGAACCGTGTGACCTGTTTAATTCCATTCCCGGCTGGAAGCAGGAAGTGTGGTGGAGGAAGGAATGCAAACATATCAGACAACAGCACTGTTCATCAGCTTTTCCAAACTGAAAAATACATGGTTCAGGGTCAGAGCGAGTGAGAGTTTGGGGGAAAAGTTCAGAGTGACAATGACTTTATCTCTCTAAATGACTTTGTTTTTCTTTGTGCCTCCCAGAATTTAAGGAAGCCTTCTCGCTCTTCGACAGAACCCCTAAATCGGAGATGAAAATCACGTATGCACAATGTGGAGACGTTCTGAGGGCTTTGGGGCAGAATCCAACCCAATCCGAAGTCCTCAAAGTCCTTGGCAGGCCCAAACCAGAAGGTACGTCATCCTCTTTCTGTTTGTTTTGAACGAGAGGTCTCCAGGAGTAAATTGTCAGCCCAAATGGATTCTGTCCATTCAAGTTGCAGTGGGGGAGGTCTAGGTTGGATATTAGGAAAAACTATTTCACTACGAGGGTGGTGAAGCACTGGGATGGGTTCCCTAGGGAGGAGGTGGAATCTCCATCCCTAGAGGTTTTGAAGTCTTGGATTGACCAAGCCCTGGCTGGGATGATTGAGTTGGGATTGGTCCTGCTTTGGGCAGGGGGCTGGACTTGATGACTCCTGAGGTCTGTTCCAGTTCTATGATTCTATGATTCTCTCTCTCTCCTTTGGTGGGAAGATTGACCGAGGTTAAGCTGGAACGGCCTCATCTCTGACTCCAAGTCAATCAGGGGCAATGAGAAGAGAGGACCGTGAGGTCATAGAATAATAGAATACAACTAAAAGGGACCTTGAGAGGTCATGGAGTCCAGTTCTTTGCCCTCACGGCAGGACGAAGCACCATCTAGACCATTCCTGACAGATGTCTGTCCAACCTGCTCTTCAATATCTCCAGAGATGGAGATTCCACAACCTCCCTGGGCAATTTATTCCAGTGTTTGACTATCCTGACAGTTGGGAAGTTTTTCCTAATGTCCAACCTAAACCTCCTTTGCTGCAATTTAAGCCCATTGCTTCTTGTCCTGTCTTCAGAGGCCAAGGAGAACAATTTTTCTCCCTCTTCCTTATAACACTCTTTTTAGATTCTTGAAAGCTGCTCTCATGTCTCCTCTGAGTCTTCTCTTTTCTAAACTAAAGAAGCCCAATTCTTTCAGCCTTCCCTCATAGCTCATGTTCTCTAGACCTTTCATCATCCTCATTGCTCTTCTCTGGACCTTCTCCAATTTCTCCACATCTTTCTTGAAATGTGATGCCCAGAACAGAACACAACACTCCAACTGAGGCCTAATCAGCGCAGAGCAGTGCGGAAGAACGACTTCTCGTATCTTGCTCACAACACTCCTGTTAGTGCATCCCAGAATCATGTTGGCTTTTTTTGCAATGGTGTCACACTGTTGACTCATGTTTAACTTGTGGTCCACTCTGACCCCTAGATCTCTTTCTTCCATGCTCCTTCCCAGACAGTCGCTTCCCATTCTGTATGTTTGAAATGTATGGTTCCTAAGTGGAGCACTTTGCATTTGTCTTATTAAACTTCATCCTGTTTACCATAGAGCATTTCTTCAGCTTGTCCAGGTCATTTTGAATTATCAAAGACACATGATAACTAAGGGTATGTCTACACTACCCCGCTAGTTCGAACTAGGAGGGTAACGTAGGCATACCGCACTTGCAAATGAAGCCCGGGATTTGAATTTCCCGGGCTTCATTTGCATAAGCGGGGAGCCGCCATTT